TTAGTCGCAAGCAGTTTTCCCCAGATTTAATGTACTTTTTCTAGTACCATTGAACTCTTATTTTTTTGAATCAGATTTTTCCTACAGTAGAACTTGTCCATCTTTGGCACATCACAGAAATTCATTGGTTAAGTAGCCTTTCAGTTTGTTTTCTGTGTTTCAGATTTGCTTCATCTTAGCCACAGTTTGACTCCACATCTGCTTACCAGCGGTTCTCAACCTGTGGGTCACGACACACAGGAACTGTATTAAAGGGCGGCGGCATTAGGAAGGTTGAGAACCACTGTTATAGAGCATTAAATATAATTGAAGTGCAAATGAGGCTTAACCTAGCTAGAAGGGGGAAAAGTGGAAGCAAATTGTTATTCTAAAATCTTTGTCCTCAGAAAAGTGAGAAATTTAAGGACAGCATATGAATACATGTAGTGTTAGGATACTACTTTTCTAGATCATGTCCATTCTATTTTTTTTTTTTTGTTTTTTTCCTTTTTTTTTTTCTTTTTCTGCTAATAGTAAATGATGATGGCGATGTGTGTGCTTTTTAAGACTCTTGCTTGCTGAAAGTGGCAAATCTATGTTGGTTGCCGAAATCTTCTTTTAAAATTTAATAGCCTGTGAAATTGTTACCTAGACAAGAGGGTCCAGCTGCCTACCACGGTCAGCTAATGCACAGAGATGAGAATAGGTCTGCCAAACTTTGTCAGAATGCCAGCAATTCTGGAGAACAGTGAGAATAGCCTCTTCAAGACGGTGTGTTCTTCCATTTACAGAATAACTGTTACATACGTAAAAGTTAAAAGCAAGAACTGTACTAACTTAAACAACAGTAATTAGCACTTATCTTAAACAACAGCAATTGCCACAACCCATCACTCATTATAAATAATTGACATAACTCATGACCCCAAATAACATTTCTAATTCAAAAATTAATCTCCTAAATCAATTGCCCTAAACTACTCAAGATACACACTTTCAGGTTAAAGCTGAATTTATAAAACAAGAATGGGAGACATGACATAAAGGTCACTTAGGACCTAAACTGGCCAGACCAGCTGTGTCATGTCAGCCCTAGTCTGATGACTCCATCTTATTCTCACTACATGTGCTTTCAAAATCCTGGGAAACATTGCTTTGGAGACACTGGAAACTTATTCCTTCTTATTTTGATAAATACATGACAGTGGCATTTCCTACTGGAGGCAGTTTGAAATAATAAAGCAATGTTAGTAAAGAGTACAGATTGTGAAGTCAGAATTGCTTGAGTGCAAAACCTGCCTCTGCCATTTATTATCTATGTGACCTTAGAAAAGTTACTTAATGTTTCTGGGCTTCAGTTTCCTTGCAGAGAATAACACCTGCTTCACAGGGTTATTGAAATAATTAAATGAATTGATCCATAAAAAGTATTTAAAATAGCACATACATGAAGTACACATTCAAAAAGTATCAGCCGTTTGATAGGGCTAAGTGCAAGGGTCCACAAAATAGAACAGAGCACAAAAGCCCACCGAACATGGCTGGGTGTGCAAGCCCCGCCTGGAAAGGGATGAGTTCCCAACCTGGGAACTCCCTGCCCCTTAATTTTCATCCCACTTTGCCTTTCACTTTTACCTCCTTACCAACTCAGCCCACTCACTTTTGGCCTGGTTGCCCACACTGAACCTGGACTCCCATTTTCCTTTTGTTCATGTCTCACTGTTATTATAGTGATGAAAAAGTTGTGATTGCTGTTATTTAAAAACACCTTAGGTAACTAATGCCTTTTTAATTCTACACCATAAATGGAGAATACATAGATGGGTCATGAGTAAGACAGCCCATTATAGTTTATTAAAATGCTAAACTAGTTGGTACTTAACAAACAAGTGAGGGAACCAGAATTCAAACTAAAGTCTGTCTTCAAAGGTCTTATGTAAAAAAAAAAACAAAAAACAGTATATTATGCTGCCTCTAAATTTCAGAAATTTAAACATGGAAATTATATTTCCTTTTCTGTAAAAGACCAGGATAAAAGACCCTATAATGTTTAGAAATCTAATAAACTTATTACATGAAAAAATAAAAACAATAGCAATTTCAGTAACTCCTACAACTTGTCTTTCTAGAAAGAACCTTATCCTTGAGTCTGAAAATTAAAAGTGTCATTAATTAACAGTTATTGCTTTTTAATAAATGGTGGAATAAAAGGTC